AGAGAGAGAGAGAGAGAGAGAGAGAGAGAGAGAGAGAGAGAGAGAGACAGAGAGAGACAGAGAGACAGACAGAGAGAGACAGAGAGACAGAGAGAGAGAGACAGAGAGAGAGAGACAGAGAGAGAGACAGAGAGAGAGACAGAGAGAGAGACAGAGAGAGAGACAGAGAGTCAGACAGAGATAGACAGACAGGGACAGAGACTAAGAAAGAGACAGGTAGACAGAGAGATAGAGAGACAGAGAGGCAGCAGAGATAGAGAGAGACAGACAGAGACACAGAGACACAGAGATAGAGCACACGAATGACTCAGGGGTCTGGTCAATCTTAATACCCAGTTCCTCTGGTCTACAGTGATTGGTCTAGCCATGGACACATGACCACAGTCTGGCCAATAAAGATTCTTCCCGGGACTTTTCTCTTTACAGCTGCTATAGCTGCAGGCCAATGGAGAGAGGCAGAGGCAGGACGCAGCAGAATGTATCTTCAAGTTGATTGGTTGGGGTCAGCTCCCGGCCTGAGCAGGAACTAAGTTGTTTTCCACTTCTGCCTAAAATGTTTGGTTCTCCACTTTTCCCCAAGGGTCACCACCCTGAAATCTCAAGAGGTTGTCAGGGCTAAAAGTGACAGTGTCTTTGGGCAAGCTCTGGAACATTCTCTGTTGCTTCTGTGGAAGCCACCTCACCAGGGCCAGAGCCAACTGGTACCACTCCTGGTGCCAGCACCCAGGCAGGCCCCTCAAGACCAGGCAAGGTCCGTAGATACCTGGATTTTCCCCGTTGATGGAATGTAAATGCCACTGGCCCCTAGGTGTCAGAGAGCCCATAAGTCAAGTAGCCTTCTCTCTCTACTGAGGGGTGGCCTTTCCCTTTCGATCAGCAGTGGTTCCTGGGAACTCTACCCACAGCACCATACTTCTTGTTGGGGAGACACACCTTGCTCATCTCTTTCTCTCCTCAGTCCCAGCCCTCAGGCCTCCGAAGGGAGCATTCCCAGGTCCTCCCCAACTTACGCAGGCTGCTTCCCGCACTTGCTCACACAAACGCTTGGCAGGGATGAGGAAATCCAGGAGGAAGCTCAGCCCATCTCCCCGGAAGTCAGAGTCCAGGAGCCGGAACACTTGACCCAGGACGGTGGGGGCAGTGGCTTCGAAAGGCGGGTAGAGCCCTGCCAGGGCATGCTGGATGGCCATGTCAAGGGCTGAAGGGTCCTGCTGGGGACAGCAGGGAGAACAGTTACAGTAACAGTGTGGACAGGCACAGTGACCACTTCAGTGGTCTTCAGAGCCCTGTGAGTAAGACCTGGCTGACTCCCATGGCCAGGGTTAGCCCCTTACTTCACCCCAGCCTAACTCAGAAACTCTCCAATCCTGTACCTCCTAGCCTCTGCCCAGCGATGGCCCCACAGCCCAGCCAGATCCCATGGCGGCATGTCCTCTGCAGCTTCCTTCTTGACACCTGCCCCAGCGGACCGCAGCCATGTCACATTCAATGGCCCCGCCCTCTCTAGCTCACGAACATATGAGCCTTCCCCTGTCAAGTTGTACGACCAATTTCATGCAATCTCCTTCTCTGCCTCAGCAGCCTTTACCCTTCTTTACTCCAGCCGTCCTCTGCCAGGAGCTCAGAGCAAACTTACTCTAACACACCAAGACCCCAGAGCAAACTTACTCTAACACACCAGGACCTCAGAGCAAACTTACTCTAACTCACCAGGCAGCCAGCAACGTAGGCCTACCTGCTGTGCATGACACCAGCCTCCCCCAGTTCTGTTGCCTCTGTCTGTTTCTCCACCATGACAAGAGGAGTCTCTCACTCACCTTCAGCCTTTGCCATTTTCGTCCCTTCCTCCCAAACACCTGCCTGCCTCTTTCTGACCTCACCTGACAACACCCTCTTCATTTAACTTCAAGACACAGACCAGCCTTAGGCTGTTCTGGAAGGTACTCAGACTTTACACCTGTTTCCTCCCAGTGTGATCAGATGTCCCCCTCCTCTGGTACCATATCAGAAAAATTCCCGCACTGCCTTCTAGTCCCCAAAGGGCAAGAGGGCCAGGCAGGACAGCACCCAAAGGTACCCAAATCCAAATCTCCACAGCCTGTGAGTGCAGGCAAAGGGGGACTGACGGCAATAAAGCAGAGACTCTGAGGCAGGTGAAAAGGCACAGTTCACTCTCAACCAGATTCTGAAGCCAAAGAGAGAGGTCCTGGTCCTTCCCATCTGTGGTCTATGCAGAGCAGGTCACAAGCCCCATCATTTTGGCAGAATAAGCGAATTAATAAAAAAATGAATGCCTACAGCTGTACTCTGAAGGAGGGTGGGTCACCATGCTGGCCTGCTTCGGAGCTGTGGGGTGGGAATGGGGAAGTCACTCCTCAGAGCCAGAGGTGAGGGATCCGTAGTGCGGTTGAACAGGAAGGGGTTTGCCAGGCCTGTAGGCCTCACTACCACTCAGCCCTGCCCACCCAACCCTTGCTTCCCCACTGCCATGGTCTGAGTGAGAATGGTCCCGCAGGCTCATATGTGAATTCTTTGGTCACCAGCTGGTAGAACTGTTTGGGAAGAATTAGAAGGCGTGGCCTTGTTGGAGGAGGTGTGTCACTGGGGATGAAGTTTGAGGTTTCACATCCCAAGCCATTCCCACTTGGCATTCTCTATCTTGGTCTAGTAGGTAAGACTGAGCACTCAGTACTGCCTACCGCAGCACCAAGCCTGTCTCCTGCCTTGCTACCTGACATGGTAGTTATAGACTCTAATCCTCTGGAACTGTGAGTTCCCAGATAAATTCTTTTTTTCTATAAGTCTCCTTTGTTGTGGTGTCTTTGCAGCAATATAAAAGTGACCAACACACCCACCAACCTGGGGACAGAGAGAGATCTTAAGTGTCAACCAAGGACATAAACCCTGGGCCTGCATCCCTTCATGCCACGCGCCCCACGCCATGCTGGAACACTGGCACACCTGGCTTCTATCTCCTTTTGTGACCTTGATTAGGGACCTCTCTAGACTTCATCTGCAGCCTCGCTGTCTGCTTCATTTTTGGAAATGTAATTACACACATGACCTTCAGCATTTGTACAGTTCAAAGTTATTTTTGTTTGGTTGGTTTTCTGTTGTTTTTTTTTTTCACATCTACCCGCCATGCAGAAAGATACATAATTGTGTTCCTCAAAAGGAAAAGGGGGTAGGGGAGAGAGAGAGAGAGGGAGGGAGGGAGGAAGGGGGGAAGGAGAGGGAGGGAGGGAGGGAGAGAGAGAGAGAGAGAGAGAGAGAGAGAGAGAGAATCGGTCTCCAGGAACTTGCTGTGTACCAGCCCTACACTCACAGTCTCTTGCTTGGTGTCACCTACAGCGATGCCACGGCTAACCTGGGGATTCCCATTTGCAAGTAAAGGGTCAGAGTCAATTGTGCCCAGAGTCTTAGTGAGAAAGAGAGACAGTGCAGCTCCAACCCAGACCCGTGGTGGTGAAGACAACTGGCTTTCTTTCCCTGCCTCTGGCTGCCTGCTCTGTCTGAGGGCCATTCCTTTCAGAATGGTCTGCCCAGGATTCTAGTGGCCTAAAGAAACCACAAGAGGAAAAGCAAGGTCTGCCCTCTGAGATGACCTTGGCTTACACAGAGTTGCCCGCATTTGCCACCTGCCTTAGCCACCTTTAGAGGTGGCTGGAAAGTGGGAAATTGTGACAAGCAGATAGGCTATACTCTTGGTGGCTCACTATCTACCAGTCAGGGTCTCCTGGGTCTTAGAACTGTCCAAGAATTCAGGAAGAACATAGTGTAAAGGCCCCAGAGGCTAGAGGGAGGAATGCTGGCTCCTTGCCATCACAAATGAACTGGGCAGCCTAGCCTGGGACCACAGGAGTCTAAGTGTTGCTGCCAGACTCTAAATGATCTCTGTGAAACTTGATAGATGCGTTTCCATTCCTTCCCAGTGAGGGCAGCCCAGCCCAGCCCAGCAGTCAGTTGCTCCTTGTAGGAGCCAGGCATGAATGGATGCTGAAAAGCATGGAGACAGAACCCCCTCTGCAACTAGGGATAAAGAAAGGGCTCAGCGCCCCAGCCAGAGATGGACTTGTGAAATGGAGCCCTAGTTTTCTTTTTGAAATGCTGAGCTAGAACCCAGGATCTGTGCATGAGGGGCAAGAATAAACTGTAACCACACCCTTCCATCCTCCCCACTAAGCCACGCCTCCAGTCCTCAGTCTTTTGCATGGGTTCTTGCCAGAAGCTAAGGGTAACCTTGAACTCACTGTAGTGTAACTCACTTTTAACTCAGTGTAGCCCAGGCTGCCCTCCACTTCCTCCCTCTGCCTCCTGAGTGCTGGGATTGCAGGTGTACACCACTGCTCTGGACTGCACACATCTATCTTAGCAGCTTTGCCGTGAGCCGGCTCTATCAGAGTCCTAAGTGCTCATTTTATCAAGCAAAATTTGCAAATGCAAGGTGTACAGTCAGATAAACTTTTACTCCGCGTATCCATCCTTGCAAACAGCATCCAGCTCAGTGTACCAGAGTCACATCACCCCCACACAGAGACTCACTCCTAGCCAACTTCTATTATAATGTTTTTAAAGAAAAATTTCTGTACAGTATAATCCATAGAATGTGAGTAGGCCCAGAACCCAAGTGGGCATTAAGCACCGTTACCCCCGAGGGTAGTGAGGGCAAGGGCCTCCTCACAGGGCAGCCTTTTCATTTTCTTCTGAGCTTGCTACATTTTCCAAACCTTCTGGAACCAGTGAGTGTGGCTTTTATAACCAGAGGGAAAGCATAAAAGTGTGATCGTGTGCTTTTAAGGCTGGCTCCTTTTTTAAATGGCCTCGCCAGATGTTCTTAACTGAGCCTTCTGAGATGTGGGCTGGACTGCCTTAAAGGTCCAGATCTTTCCACTTGCTCTGCAGAGCCAAATTCTAGTTTCATTTGGCTTGGCTGCTTCCTCCTCCTCCTTTTCCTCCTCCTCCTCTTCCTCCTCCTCCTCCTCCTCCTCTTCTTCCTCCTCTTCGTGGGAAGGGCTGATGTGGGCAGGGTCCTAGCATTCCCTCTGCTCTGAGGGAAAGCTAAGATGCAGCTTGGGATTGGGGAAGCACTTGCCTAATATTCCATCCCCCACCACAAACAAAGAAGAAAACAAAAAGCTAGGAAAGGGGGCTAGAGAGACCGCTCAGCAGTTAAGAGCACTGACTGCTCTTCCAGAGGTCCTGAGTTCAATTCCCAGCAACCACATGGTGGCTCACAACCATCTGTAATGGGATCTGATGCCCTCTTCTGGTGTGTCTGAAGACAGTGACAGTGTACTCATACACATAAAATAAATAAATAAACCTAGGAAAGGTTAGACACTGACTATGCCACACCAGGTGACTTTGACTTCAGGCAATAAATAAATACACTTATAAACAGGAACCCCTGGGGTGCTCGGACCTCCTCAGAGAGTTTTCTTTCTGCAGTTGACCATGGTTAAGGCAGAAGCTCACAACTGGTCGAAATGCAGACGTCATCTCGACGGCTCAGACCATCATGGAAGATGAGGCAGAAAGGTTTTAAGACCTAGAGGTTGGAGATGCCTGGCTGCCTTTCGAATCCCAGCCTAGACAAGTTCCAGAGGAGCGTCCTCCAGAACTGCCAGGAAGGACAGTGTCTCCTGGACATGACAGAACCAGATACTCATGAGCTCACAGTATCAGTGGTTACCTGCACAAGGGCTGCACAAGATCAAGCCAGTCTGCATTCCAGCATGAAGTGGGGAAAGGCTCACAGCCTTCCTTCCCATGCTGAGGAGGAACTACTGACAGTTGAGGCCTTCTGCAGGATGTAGGGTCCATTTTCTTTGAGGGGCGGTAGCCCTGAGTAGATTGACCAATCTCCAGTGGATGGCCCCACATCCATGAATATATAGGCAGCACAAATTGAACCCTACTGATTATAAAAGCAAGGCAAAGAAACAAAAAACCATAGGATACGGATTTGGGAGGGAGAGGAGAGTGGAGAGATGGTCTGGGAAGAGTTGAGGAAAAGGGAAAAGTGAATATGATTAAAATGCACTGTATACTTGCACGAAATTCTCAAAGAATTAATAAAAGTATTATATTTGTTTTTTCTTTTTTTAAAGTACTGGACATATCTATTCTAGGCCCCTTCTAGAATTGTCCATATAATTTTGTTCCGGAAGGTGTGGGGTAAGGATGTGGTTTCCAAATGGACCAATCTTTAGTTGCTGAGGAAGTTTCAAAGGTCTGACCTCAACCCATGTCCCTGCTCTTGCCCAGGGACGATCTAACGAGGGGGCTTGCCTGTGAGAAATGGAAGCAGATGAATGTGAGAAAGCACACCATGGACCCTTGCTGAGGACCCCCAACCACCCACCTCAGAGGAGCAATAGGCCTGGGACACTGCAGCCTGCCCTGTCTGATCAGTAAGCCTCCCAGTGTTTTGAAGATTGGCCAAAGCAAGCAAATCTGTGAGCCAGCTGCTGCCCAGCAGGTGTCAGGCTTTGAGCTTCCTGGGACTCTCTTGAACTTGTCTAGGCTGAGGTTCCAAAGTCAGCTCCCCGACTGCCTGTTCCCATCTGACTCAAATTGCTTGCGCTTTTTGTCTGTGTGTGTGTGGGTGGGGGTTGGAGTGAGAATCCAGCTCTTTACAAACCAGCTTTCAAATCAGCGCTTTATCAACAAACTTTCAAAACTGGAAGTGCTGCCCAGATGCAGTGAACCAGGCCAGGAGTGGGTGTCAAAGAGCTGTATTCAAGTCCAGTTCAGCCATGTGGTATCCAGGAAATTGTTTCTGCTTCTGAGTCCTCCCTAGTCTCAAGTTTGTCCTTGTCTCTACTCTCCTGTGCCTCTGGCCTGGGGCACAACTTCTTGCTCAAGTCACAAGATGACAAAGTTGCTCCCTAGGGCTGCCTCTGAGCTGCCCTGAGCAAGCCTTCTGGGTGAGGCCCCAGCTAGGTCCACTCCATGCGTGGTTTTACATGGTTGTCCTGATGATTCTGTGAACTGGTTATGTTCTCCCCATTTTACAGATCAATAAACAGAGGCTCACATCATCCACCTGGTTGGTGGACAGGTACATCGTCTGAGGCTCTCTGAAGACTTTCATACACAGAGAGCTGTGGCCCTCGTTGTAACATCAGGTGGCTCCCTATTGCTTCAGCAGCTTGTCAGCCTAGTTCTTAGGTCTCCCATCGTATCTTCCCTGCTTCCTTAAACAGACCCAGCTCGAGTAGGGGTTCTCCCTCATCCGCCTGCCACATGTGCAAGGTGTTCTTGCCACGCTCACATACTTGGATTAGTTATTTGCTTAATATTTATTCTTGATTATTCAATGTTTGACTTTTTCTTCCTATTCATCTTCAGTGTAAATTTGCTTTGTTTATTGTCATGTGTTTATGCCACTTCAATCACTTCCATGACAATTCCCTCTAAGCGCCTCCTCATTTAGCCTATGGCATCCCCTCCTGGGCACACGCTGTCTCTGCTCACACTCTACAAGGTAAGCGCCTACCCACCCTTCAGAGTCCTGCCGTCTCTTCTCAGGTTTCCATGGTGCCTGTACTCACAGGCAAGGAATAGAGACTCCCCTTGGACTTGCCCATTTACTCTAAATATGAGAAAGAACTGCAGGCTGAAGGCTGGCCCAGACAGCTTAGTGGGATTCTGTCTCAAAATAAAGTAAGTAAAACAGAACTGGGGATGTGGCTTAGTGGTAGAGCAATTGCTTAGCATGCACGAAACCATAGGTTTTCAAAATCACAGTACGAAATCTCTTCCAGGGGCCAGCAAAATGGCTCAGCGAGCTAAGGTACTTGCTTCCAAGCCTGATGACCAGTTTGATCCCACCTCAGAAGGAGAGAACCCACCCCGAAAGCTGTCCTCTGACCTCCACATGCATGCCACAAAGACATGCTAGAGTGACACGCTGCAGTGAGTGGATCTCGAGCAGATATACCATGGTGGTTTGGTTTGCGTGGATGTTATAGGACAAAGAGGAATTTCCCTGCAAAGACAGAACATGCAAAGGTCCTGGGGCAGGAGAGACTATGAACCCTAAGGAATTCTGAAACCAGGTCTGAGTACTCAGGGCACAAAGTTAAGATCGGAGAAAAAGAGAAAACAGTGGTATAGATCCCAACGTCCACATAATAGCCTGGGTGTGGTCTCACACACACTTATACCCCCTCACTGAGCCGGACAGACACGGGAGGATCCTTGGGGCTTTTCTAACCTAGCCAATAAAATGCAAGATCCAGGTTCAGGGAGAGACCGTGGCTCTAAGGGGTAGACGGAAGTTATAAAGGCCCTCTGGCTTGTGTGTGATGCAGGCACTTATACACATGCATGTGCTGTATCATATACACCTTACATGTATGCTTATACAAACATGTGCATTCCCTCACAGCACATCACAATACACACACACATGCATGCACACACA